TCTATTTTAAACTTAAGAAGAGAATAATGAAATCAAACACGGTGTATCGTTGTCACACTTGGGCTGGACATATTCAGTCCTCATTTTCTGGCTTTGATAGATTTCAAAATTTTACATGATTTTGTGGGAGAAACCATATTCTCAACTCTTAAGCTGCTGTAGGGAAACCGAAAGCGATTATCTCCCTTTTGCGAAGATAAGTCATGTAATCTCATGACGACCTCTTAGTCACGTCATTCCATACAGTGATCCGGGTTGGAGTCGTTTTGGGGTTTGGGGACAACAATTAAATGAGAAATTTGCTTTCTTCTATCCTGTGCCCAAAGGCTCAGGCTGATGTTAAATCCGCCACCCCCAGCAACTTACAAACATAAGGCACTATTTCGATGTGGGACATATATCAATCCAACCCGTCTAAGTCTAGATTCCTTAAAATTGTTTTACCAGGTAAGTAGTATCTTAAAACTACATGTAAGACCTTTCATTTTTTTTTTCCTCCTTCTACTTTGCTATACGTAATATATAGTTCTCCACGAAGGACATGTCTATATATATATATATATATATATATATATATATATATATATATATATATATATATATATATATATATATGTGTGTGTGTGTGTGTATAGTATTTTTGTGTATGTCGTAGTATATAAAATTCTCTCCGAGAAGAAAGCATATTAGTCATTCTTTTCTTTTAAGACATTAATTTCCGTCCTGTCCGTGAGATACATATGTCCTTAATGGGAGAAACGTAATTGAGAGCATAAATCATTCGCCCATGAGCTCTCGATACGCCGCTTTTATAAAAATGCTAGCTTGCAAGTCTATTGCTTCTCTATCAAATTTCCGGTGTAAAAGTTCAGAGGAGGTCCAGTCTTAGGTTTCACCAGCTCAGACATATAGCTAGAAAGTGAGATTTCCTTGTAAAAGAAAGAGTTTCTAGCTTTAAAATACTTCAGTAATATTTTCGGCATTGTATTGAGAAGATTATCTGGAAATAAGATTGTATTAGAGACGTTTGCTCACTCATTGTACCCTCTCCGTCACTGTCAAGTAGTCGGCAACATTTCAATAATGGAGGTATATAAAATGGCAGATAAAATTATAATTTATAGCTGTTTTGGATCAATGCGTTTTTAATATTTTGGAGGGGGAGAATCATTTATATATACATTTAAATCTTAGTGTTATGGTGATTTTCTAAGCTTAGCTTAGACGTGGCACAAGGCAATTGAATCTTAATGTTATAAGCGGATTATTAAACAAGCTTCTAGTAGGGAACCGCCAGTCTCGGAAAACTATAGAATCTACTTAGCTACTCCCTTGTGCAGAAATCTACTCAAGAATATTTGTGTACCTTCAACACAAAACCGATTTTTTTTTACTGCAACTATCTTTAGCGGGACTTAAATATATTTTCTGGGGAAAAGCGCATAATCGAGCGTGATGATAGAGATTACACGTTAATCAGATATAGTACACTCAAAGCCTCGGTCACGATGGCCTTTTACCTCATACTATCTCAGCAGCCTCAACCATCGTTTCATCTAGCGAATTTCACTCCCAAGAATTAGATCACAACTTTAAATCAATACCGCATACTGGGCTTGTCTCCCGAGAAAAATGTTATCAAGAAGTAACGTCCTCGCCAAATTAAAACACGAGTCTGGATTATTAGTCAAAATCCTCATTTTATACTTATATGAATATATCACCATATCGACTCCTGATGATAATTGTTAGTCAATTTAGTAGATTTATAAATAGTTTCACTGAAATATGCATTCACAGAAATATGAAAAGATAAATGCATTGGTAACATCAAATGGTTTTGTATGCATTAAGATGAACTAAATTGTCATAGAAAATAAATATACAATTGGGTGATGAATAGATCTGTAAGAAACTTACCCCAATAGAACGAATTCGATGTGTCATTTATTATTACAAAAATAAAATTTAAATGGGTTCTGACTCTCCCTGGGGAATCATGACAGTGCAAATGTGCGAATTGGCCTGGTGACAAACGATACGACCCATTATGGAAAAGAACGATAGTTAACCAAGAATTATTTTGAACGACATATGATGACAATAAGATATTATTACTGTAATGCTATTTTTAACTTTCTGTTTAAATGTGGTGTATGCTTGTGTTGCTGGCTTGCTGTGTTGTGAGCTTGTAAGGAGATAATGATATATATTTTGACTAACATTATAACCCGTCTTCGACCGGGTGTTTCATTACTGGGAATTTTCGCCGTTCAACTGGAGCAGTTTAAGTTTAAATACAGCCCACCCGAAAATCAATGTTTGTTACAACAATTGGGTGCAACTGAGGCACATGCACAAATGGGGGATACAAATTTGAATGGTAGAGGGCACAGAAAAAGGCCATTTTTGCGTTCTCAATCTTGCTAGGAAGAGATCTCTTCCATGGTCCGTTAGGGCGGAAGGAGAGAATTGTTGGGGGAGAATATTTCTTCAGGATGTAGATGCATTTTCTATTCTTATTCAATGTGCTGGAGATGATGCTATTTCAAGGAGGGTGCGATGCGGTTGGAGGTGGCCTGTGGAAAACGAGATAGAGGCATTGATTAGCATAAGGAAGACGACTGTTTAAATGAAAGCATGGAAAATTCACTACCCAACAACCCGTGTAGAGTTCACGTATCCTGCAGCACCGCGCTGTAGACGACGTTGCGGGTTTTGGACCCGGGAGCTTGAGGCAGAATGGTGCCTAATCGTTGAGGTGACTGGACACATCACTGATGTTTTGCAATTGTAAAACTTATTTTAGGTTCGCTATAATTGAGCGCTTGTTTCACAGGGAAAATGACGAAAATAAGATGTCCCTGACAAAAGTTATCTTGTTTGAGGCATCATCAACACCCCTTCCAAAAAATGTTATTTTGCATGCTTGTTGCCTCGTACAGTCGCTCATTGAACACACCTGTAACTGCTGCATGGCCCTCTCTTCATTGCACATCTTTTATGTTAGATTTCAACTTTGTAAATTGATTGTATTCTGTTTTTACAGGTATTAAATTTTGCCTTTGATTTTTGCGCAAAATGTAAAAAAATTAGTTTTCTTTTTTTGATTTTTCACCTACAAGGTGGTAATTTTTTCCAACCAATTTGAACTCAAGAATTATCTATAAAAAAAAAAAAAAAACTCATCGAAATCGGATGAGAACTGTGCAAACCTGTTGCTGCACGCACTAAGGTCAGCAGCAACTGATGGACAACGTGTGGAGGTGTGAATTACGCCAACACTGTATGAGCCAGGATTGGAAGGTGATGTGTGAAAAAGTAATATTAGGAAATGTATTAGGCAAATGAAAGTGAGAGAACATGAACAAACAAAACTTGGTAAATGGATACATAAAGTTGCAGAATGAGTGGGTCTACTCGTATGCAGGAAGAATGGCGCTTAAACGTTGAGGTAACGGGACACATCGTTGATGTCTTGCACCTGTAAAACTTATTTTAAGTTCGCTGCTATTGAGCTGTTGTTTCATAGGAAAAATGATGGAAATAGAATGTCCCTGACAAAAGTTATCTTGCTTGAGGCATCATCAACCACAAAAAACGTTATTTTGCATGCCTGTGGCCTCGTAGAGCTGCGAATTGAAAACGACTGACAAAGTGCTGTGGTTTTTATACAGGGTTCGATGGGTAAATTTCGTGCACAAGCGTTGTTGATTTTGTCGACTGCACAGTATAGCAGGCTCAGTTAGGCACCATCTGCGAGAAAAAGGAAGCAAACTAACGCAATTCGTTCCACCAGAAATTTAGAAAGCGCATACTTTACATCTTGGCATTCGCACCAGATCTCCAATACGAACAGCTGCGCATTGAACATCCCTGCAAATGCTACATGACCGTATCTTTAATATCCATCTTTTTCGTTAGATTTTAACTCTCTGAATTGATTGTAAGCTCTTTTTTACAGACATTAAATTTTGCCTTGCATTTTTTCGTTATTATTAATTATGACTAGAGGTAGACTTTCGATCAGTAGGACGGTAGACATTAATTTCACCGTTTAAAACAAGGCTGACAAAACTTTCCATACAAAATCTGTGCTATCTGTGTTTAATGAATTCTCTATTTTCCATGTTAAACCATGGTGCAGGAAACTCAATTTTCTGATGTGAATTGCTTATCTCATTCCGTTCGCCCGCTTGCCTGGAAATTATGCATTTGAACCGCGACGCTTGGAATGAATGGAAGAAAGACGTTAGCTCACAGTGGGTTTATTTCACGAAGGTCTGCAATTTTCTCTCTGAAATATTTGTGTTTTTTTTTTAATCAATTTGTTCGCAGCGTTAGTCTAAGCTTCCAATACATACATTTCCTTCATTAATGGTTGATGCGAGATGTAGTGTTCGTAATGGCAAGAGTATCATGAAATCAAGATGAAAATAACAACACAAAAAAAGAAGAGTTTATAATCATACATAAAAAAACGACAACAACTAGAAAGTAATCGTAAAACGCAACATTTTTTTTTTACTTTTTAAAAACCCGAAAAAGATTTTTGGTTGAACAGATCAACCACTTATAGAAAGAGAAAGACGAACTCATAATTCTTAAGAATGATTTGAATATTAAAAGCAATAAGAAAAGAAATGTTTTCCTTTTCAACCTACAGTCGATTCTTTGTTAGAAACTATCTTTTCAAAAGAACTGTAGCTATCTAGAAGAGCGTCAGGACAGAAACGATAGTTAGCCGGTAGCTAAGTTGAGGGAAGTGATTTCACAGTTAGAACAAAAACAAAATGGTGTAATTTCCTTTTCTTATCCATTTTTTTTTGTTCTATTTTGATTAATACATTCATTTTTTTTTTTTATATATATATATATATATATATATATATATATATATATATATATATATATATATATATATTATTTAAGCAAATTTTATCTTCTCCGATCGCTTTTCTTTTTCTGGTAGCTATTTAGTTTGAACAAAAGACACCAGA